ATAAACTTATTGAACTTATTTTTCTTTTATTGAGCAATTTTTTCTTTTTAATAATTTCATTCATATTTACCCTTTATTTTTCATCAAAAATTATTAGTATCATAAATGAATTAAAAAGTTTTAATATTAAGTTAAATTGTTATAAAATGTATAAAAAGGCTTACTTTAACTATTTTCAGTCAAAAAATATCTTCAATTAGTAAAACAAATGGAAAAATCTAAGTTCTGATATGTTAAATTCAATTAATTAATCCTGAGGTTGCGGTTTGACAGGGTTACAGTCTGGACAACCTAGAGAATAGATCGAAAACTTTACTCAGATGCAACGCAATGCGATGCACACAACACAGAAAATAAATTAGGCAATGACAAACGTGTGGTCAAAATTTTGATTGATTTTAACATTTACTTTTTAGATCTGCGTCTGACATCGGTCTTGACATCGTAACTGTAACCTCACCGAATGACAGTTTGTGATAATAAACCTAGAAAAATTAGTTCAAAAATTTTAATTTTTTGTTTATACTTATAAGGGCATCAGAAGTTTCGATGTTCACGATTATTTTCTGATATTTTATACATTTTCAAACAATTCTGGAGGTGTAAAAATAGTGTGCCTATTATTTTTTATTATTATCAAAGGTTAAAGGTTTTAGAGATCTGCCCATAAATTGAGTGTAATTTTTACACGATAAATTGAATGAATAAAAAAACTTATACGCATGTTTCTTCAAGAAACCTGCGTTTTATTTTCGAAATATGCATACTTTATCGCGGTTACAGTAAATTGTTAAATATGATTTAAGACATTTATTTGATATATTGCCATGGCATTTTGCAGAATCAAGAATCGACCAGTCATTCAAAAGTTATAAGGGTAATCCTTTTCCTTTACTTTCTTTTTTTTCTATCTGTACCTTATCTTTCAACTGGTAGTCGAATATTATTTCAACTTATGGAACAGAAAGTAGTAACAGGATCTCAAGCCTAGACTACAGGGTGGATGCGTCATGATAATGATGCTGCATTGAAACTATTGTCTGTGAGTAATAGTTTAACCGTTTAAGCACCAAAATGTTCCATTTTTGGAACATGTTTCCTTTACAAAATGTTAAAGACTGACATCTCAAATCTTTTATTCTTAGCTCTTACAATTAGAGAAGCTTAATATTTCTATCATTCAGAATATATATTAATAATATAAAATAAAATATCTTGTGACCCATACCCTATCAGCAGGGTTGTCACTTCTAAAATACAAATTGTGATTTATAAAAGCAAGTTTCATAGCATATTCTTTTTAGTTTACTATTGAAAATGAACGCTAACTAACTCTTTATTTTAAATATGAATTATTTGAAATGTAATTCATACTGGTAGTAACGATTGAATAATTAAAGGGATGATATAAAAAACAAAAATGATTTAAGTTTCTTTTAACATTTTTAGTCTCCTGTGGCATTCCTGTGTCAACGACATGCGATGTAGCTGCTTGACTTAGAAAGTTTCACCGTCTTGAAGACTGTCGTAGAAGTTCTGGCAACTTTCTATGTAAAAATTTATTCCAGTTGTAGCTAAGTTTATGTTTTAATGTATTATTTTTGTAATCATTTAAACTTATTTTTCATATCCCTATATATTAATGATTGAAAAGCTCACAATCAACGCCACTATGATCCAGCTCATACGTGGCAAGACTTTTATAATGTTGGCCAAATTATAAAAAATTTTTGATTTTTGAATGTCTACCACTTTACAAAAAGAGTAGTAGTTGACAAGCTTGCTGTAGTAGTACCAGAGATACCAACTGCTCCGGACACCCCAAAAATAATTTAAAAAAACGGTAAATAACTACATAGAAAATTTTGCAAATATTTGACAATTTTTTCTTTTTTTTTAAATGGCTTAGCATTACACTATAACTAAAAAGTAGTGAATTATATAGGCCTACGAATTATTCGAAACAGTGGTGGATTAAAATATACTAAATTGAAGTTAAAAAGTGAAGTTTCTTCAAGCTATGTTTATCGGACTTTATTACAGCTGTTTACATTCTGAACTTTATTGTGAACTTTATGTTCGGAACTTTATTGTGTTCAATTTTTAAGTGTTAACGTGTGTTTAGATGATTAAAAGTAAAAGTTCATACATCCAAATCAGCAATGTGGACGTCTCACGCATGTTCCACACATCCACTGATGTTATTGCAATGTTTTTCACCTTCAAGCTTTCCAGACTGTTATAGGACAGAGCAAGTGAGTTCTTTACATATTTATGTTTTTTCATTAATTTATTGTACTACTTCAATATGAAATTTCACGATCAATGTGTAAACAGAAGATTACGACCTCAGTCACCCGGATAATAAATTTACGTCTATATACATATCCTGCCATAAAACCAAGCAATTGCTATGTTTTTTTAAAATCAGAATGGTTGATAATTAAATAAAATATCAATACAATTTATATGCAACCCTGCTAACATAAACGCACTATTCCTATTACTGTGAAATAAAAGTCTAGCAGGTATACCGTTAACAGGAGACGAAGTGGCAAACGAGGTTCAATGTTTTTTCAATGAACATGGACAAATAAGACATTTCAAAGACATTTTGCTTATTGCAGAACCAGAATTATTTTTGCATTTTTTCCCTTTATTTCTGTAACTTTTAAAAAATATACAGGATAGAGTAATTTTTGGCACTGTTAACGCTTTATTTCAAATTCTATTTAATCGCTAAATTGGCAATACTTAGAACTGTATTGTAAGCCACAGGAAGAATGTTACAACTATGAAAGAGCATAGTGACTTTTGTTTTAAAAAATATGTTTTAGTAAAAATGGTTATATTTTGTAAACTTTCATAGACGTTTAACTTCTTCAAACATCAAGTTTAAAAAATTTAATCTATATGAAATAATTCCTTTTTCACAGCTGTATAACCTAAGTTTAGATAATCAGATTAGAGTTCGTTGAGATTGCTTCTGAACCTTATCAACAAACGTATTTTCCGAGTTATCTGAAATCAAAGTAGCTTAAGTGCTATCGAAATTTCTCTTATAGCAATAAGGATCTTAAACCAATTTATTAGTATTTATTAGCATAAATTATTTGAAATATTTAAAGCAATTTATGAAACAATTTATAAATACAATTTATTAGAATACAATTTATTAGCAATTTTTAAATATTACGTTTAAAACTTTTTACAAACGTGAATGAAAACTCTAAATGGAAAAATAAGTTTTCTAACTTCAATTGCATTATATATATAATTAAATATAGATTATCAGAAGTAATGTTTAAAATGTTTTTTTGAAACTTGCACTTTGCTTTAACAAAAAAAAATTATTTAAAAACTTTATCATATAAATTAAAAAATTATAGAGTTCTTAAGAACAAAAATATTAATAAACTTTTACGGAAGATATTTTTTGATAAAATTGCCCCCTTTGATAAAATTTTACATGCGTTTTCAAAATCTCATAGATTTTGTCGAACATTGAACACGTATAGTTTTCTTTGATGTTAAACATTTGAACCAAAATATATTTGCCCCAAAAAATTTTTAACTAGTCATTATTGAATTTTTAAAAATTACAATATTTAAAATTAGGTTCAAAGTATAGAATACACGCATAGTATAGAATACACGTATAGAAAGTATAGAACACACGTGTAAAGTATACAAATTAATAGAATACAAACGTTAAATTAGAATGAATGAAAATGATTTATCTAATAGTTAAAATTGATTGATTGTCGGTTGTCATAAATACGAATTCCTTACAAGAACTTTCATTTATCAGTTTTCATTGCCAATTTTCGTTGACGTTATAAATTTCAATCAAATATAGTTGCTTCAAAACGCTCTATATAAGTCATAATTAAGAATTAACTTTTAAGAATAACTATTTGACAAATTTGGGTCAAAGTATTTAATACACGATGGAAATTAAAATAATACAGTCGTTAAATTGGAATGAAAAGAAACGATGTATCTAATAATTAAAATGGCTTCATTGTCGAATATTATAAACACGAATTCCTCATAAGAATTTTTCTCTGAGTCGTCGTTTTTTATTGAGATTATGAATTTAAATTAAATTGTATTTTCTTCAAAACGTTCTCAATAAGTAATAATTAAGTTTTAAAATAATGACATAGCACATCAAGGTCAAAGTATTGAATACGCGATGGAATTTTATAGAATACAATTGGTAAGTTAGAATGAAAAGAAACGATGTATCTAATAGTTAAAATGCATTCATTTTCGAATGTTATAAACACGCATGCTTTATAAGAACTTTCCGTTCTCAATTTTAATAGTCAATTTTCATTGACGCAATAAATTTAAATTAAAATGTATTTGCATCAAAACGTTCTCATAAGTCATAATTAAGTTTTAAGAATTACCATATGGCAAATTAAGGTCGAAGTATTGAATACACGATGGAAATTAATAGAATATAATCGTTAATTTAGAAGGAAAAGAAACGATGTATATAATAGTTAAAATGGATTCATTGTCAAATCTTATAAACACGAATTCCACATGAGAACTTTCCTCTGTATCGTCGATTTTTATTGACGTTATAAACTTAAATCAAAATTTATTTACATCAAAAAGCTCTTCAATAAGTCATAATTAAATTTCAAGAATAATTGTATGGCAAATTTGGGGTCAAAGTATAGAATACATGAAGGTAATTAATTGAATACAAATACTAAATTAGAATGAAAGGAAACGATGTATCTAATAGTTAAAACGGTTTCATTGTCGGATGTCATAAACACGAATTCCTTACGAGAACTTCACTCGACAATCAACTGAAACCTCAACTATTCAGCTGAAATATCCACCAGGGAGCGTCGTTGTAGATCACCATCCCCTTTTACTCCAAAAAGGAAGCTCAAGATCTGCGCATGCGTGATGTCCGGGAGAAGAACAGGGATCCCTCCTCCTCGTCCGGAATGTATCGCTCCGGCCCCAGCACCAGGTCGATGGGTAACCGGAACGGATGAAATTGAGTGAGGTCCGGCAAAACGTGGGTTGATGATCATCGACAGGGACTTGTGTAAGAGGAGTTCAACTTATTTCTTTTCTTTTGTGAAAAACTACGGTTTAGAAAAGGATATGATGGATACAATTAGAGAGGATATGAGAAAAAGACGTATAGTTTCGTTGAAACTCTTTCCTTTCATTTGAAGCCGGATTTAACCGTATCCTGATTTTTCCTTCTAAATGATTTCAACCATTTGTATGTTTTGGTAGTGAAAAGTATTTCCTCTCTCGCCGGAGAAGAAACAACGTTATAGTTCGATGATAAAGTTGTCTCAGAGACGTTTAAATTTCTCAAGTATCTCACTTTTATTTCGTAGAATTTATTGAATTTAAAAACTCTTAAGTGTTTCAAATATAACTAGCTCAGTATCTGTGCGATTGTTTGGAGTTGTATTATGCTGTGTGAGTTAATTTATAAAAGTGAAACTGTGAATACTATTGAGTTTACAACCATGGTATTTCTGATTTCCTAACAGGATACCAATACAATTTGGTGGTTAATCTGAGAAATCACAGATTCTAATGGTCAATCGGAGAATTCAAGAGCACGTTAATTGAGATTTGGTGGTCAACTTGAGAAACCACAGCTTTTACAATGGAATCAAAGTTGCTCGTCAATGGATATTTGGTATCATTTTGGAATAATGATTTGGATACTAAGGTGAGAGACCTCCGGGAGTTCATGATCTGATGAGACATGATTCTGTGCACACAACGGAAAGAGTGGGGCAATTTGACGAGAATACACGGCAGCTACGCATTGGGTGGTGGTCGCGGGGAACGGTGTTTTTTATGTGGGACTTCAATCCACAAAACTGTTTTTTCTTCTGTTAGAAAACTAATTGGATATTCCAGCCGGAAGAAAGGAGCTCGAAGTCTGGACTGTATTTACTTTTGGCTGTCTCTGGAAGATGATTCTTCATAACATTTGGAAATATATGTAGCTCTATTCATTGATTTTTAAATTCTATTGGCACTAGACTATTATCAGCACTGCTTTTTGTTTTATATCAGGAATTCAGTCTGTTACTTTGATCTTCGCTCAAGCTTTGTATGTAGTGTAGCTGCATGCGTGTGTTCTAAGCGTTTTTTCCTTCTCTCAAAATATTTCGATTCTACGCACGTTGAGATGCTTGTTGTAAATAAGTAAGGCTTTGCTTATATAGTTCGAACGTAGCTCTCTTTTCTTCAATAAGGAGTAATTTGTGGTTAATTAGAAAGCACAGTTCGAAAATTCGTTCATCGAAGACTAATACGAGGTGCTAATTACTAGTCAACTAGTTAAAGGAATACTCAAACAATTAAAAAGAATGAACTACGCTTCGGGAAGGGAAATAATGTTCAGTAGCAACTGCCCTTCTTTAGCGAGTGTGGAGAGGGGTATGTGCTGAAAGAGGCCGTAAAAGCCATGAACTGCCAGTGTTTCCTCGTCATCCTCTTCATCTGCATCAGCTTTCTTGCTACTTTAGGTAAGATATTACTTCCAATCTCTTAACTTAATTATCTGACTCGTGAGTTAAATAAGTATGCTGATGTGATCCTAAAAGTATACCACAATATTTCTCATACACTTAAATTTATTGTTACATTAGGTAAGACATTTTCTGAATCATTTCCAAACTGTAAAATTAATTAACTGATTATAGGTAATTAATGATCTGACTTGCTACATAATATTCTCATACATTTAATTTTTTGCCACATTAGGTAAAACATTTCCGGAATTATTTCCAAACTGTTAAATTAATTCACTGACTTTCGGTAATTAATTACCTCACTTGCTACATAATATTCTCATACATTTAATTTTTTGCCACATTAGGTAAGACATTTCCGGAATTATTTCCAAACTGTTAAATTAATTCACTGAATTTAGGAAATTAATTATCTGTCTAGTGAGTAAGTTAAATTTTAAGTTGCTGATGCGATCCTAAAAGTTACTCATAATAATTTTATACACTTAATTTCTTGTTACTTCAGATTAGACATTTCCTTACCTGCTTCTAATCTGTTCAATTAATTATTTGACTTGTGAGTAAAAAAAAAAAATATCTTTCACACCACACTCTTTTCAAAATTGAGGACAATAATTATTTTCATGTACAGGTTTGGTCAATAGATACAAAAAAAAAAAAAAAAAAAAGAGTAAAAAGTCTTTTTGAGGGGGAAAAACTTTTTTTTTGTTTCTTTGCAAGTGAGCAAAACTGCGTTTATAATGCTATAAAATCACTGATAACCAAACGTAAATGTAAAAAATATAATCTTTGCAATAATAAATACAAAATTATCAAAAATAAAATAAAAACCATATAAACCATTATAAGAAATAAAAAGACAGAAGCTTCAAATTGCAATAACATCGAAATATACAGAATATCTTTTACTAAAATAGCACACACACACAGTAGGGGCCAAACTATAAAGAAGCTACAAGCAAGTAAACAGCACGTCTGAAACTATAATAGATTGGTGGTCAACTATTTTCCTTATTAGCAAAGCTGTTTTCAATGTTATAAATTATTGAGGACAGCAGAGAAAAATCCAATTCAAACTTAACTTTACTAAGGGGCGCATTAACACTAGATTGCCCAAGGAAGTCATTTTGACTGCTTTTTAATTTCAATTAGAAAAACAATAATGACACAATTTCTTAGAATTTTGTGACTTTTCGTACAACATATAATTTTTTTTATTGTTAATATTTACTAATAACTTGTTATATAACTGAAAATAATATCAAAAATATTAAAAATTAATTTTAAACAAATTTCCTTATACATTAGTTATTCTTTCAGAATGCAGTCATTTTGACTGCTTTTGGGCAATATAGGTATTTCAGTCTTTCTAGTGTTAAAGAGGGAAATTTTAAGTATGATGCAATTCTGAAGGTATCCCATAATTATTTTATACAGTTAATTTTTTACTGAAATTTCGTGATTTACTGACTTACTTCCAATCTTTTAAATTAACTACCTGACAAAACTAGTGCTCAAAAAAATTAAACTTTCAGTACGCTTATACACATAATACACTGTAAATCAAATGCCAACCAAATAAGGTGTGGAGTTATATTTTATTATAGTGTAAATTAGTAATTTTTAAACTTGATTATATGATGCTGTTGTTCAATTTAAAGCGAAAGCATGGTTTAATTTAACATCTTACTAAGTCTTAGCCATAACAACTTAAAAACACAAAGCTTTTAAGCTACTATTGTCCAAGTAACAATAGATTATATAATTCCCTTACTGACTTGTCCAACCTAGCACCATGTCATGGGGCTAGAAAGGAGGAAAAAAATTTTATTTTCCCCCAAAATTGCAGGTGAAAAAAAATTTTGAATTTATCATAAACCCATATTTTTAATCCAAAGTTGTTTACTCTATTTTTTATTTGAAATGGAAGCGAAAAACCAAATCAAAAGAAAAGATGAGTTACGCATAATTTATGGTTCAGAGTAATTAATGATAAGCTTATGATTACGAGCAATTTTTTTATTTGACAGCTATCACATAGTTTTCAAATCATCACACTTGATGTTTTTTTTTTTTTTTTTTTTTTTTTTTTTTTTTTTTTTTTTTTTTTTTTTGAATTTGTAATTATAATTGCTATTCTTCAATTTTATGGTTATATTTGCCAGCTTTCAGTTATAATATATTTTAAAATTACAATTGCTGCCCATATTTACTTTTTGTGGTTGAATTTTTTTTCACAAATAAATAATGAGAATTTTTCAGATTTGCTTCCTGAACTTTAAACTATTAAAGCGTGGTTATCAGGATATTTATCTTTGTTTGAGCATGCTTAAAATCGTAATAGTCAAAATAATTTTATTTTTATAATAGCTTTATTTTTTACTTTAATTCAATTTTTAAAGCTAAAATTTCATCATTTCAAATATCGATTTCTTAAAGCTATTTTTTCTGTTCATAATTAAACCTAAATTTAAGATCTGGCATTATAGTTAGAATGATATACTTTATGCCATAATTCGCTCGTGCATTTACTAACTTAAAATGCGTTTTTTTAATTTGTTCTTATGGAATTCTAATTATTTAATCTATTGATGCTTAAACACGAAAAATAGTCTATGTATGAAAATAAAAAAGAGAGAAAGTATTTGTATAACTTAATTTATACTAGGTGGATAATTCTTCCTGTAATCTACCATTTCAGCTCTAAAAATGCTAGTTGTGACTTCAGCTGGGCTATTTGTACCTGGGAAGGGATAAAAAAAATAGCTTTAAAACCAGCTTATGTCCATTATGATTATGTTACCAGTTTATATTTATTATGGAAAGAATCAAAAATTATTTTTTTTTAATTTTATTACCAATGAGCTGCACAATCGATCTTGCCGATGAGCAGACCTAGTGCGTTCTCCAGAGGTAATATCCACTCTTTCAAGAGCACCACGGTGGGTGAGATACCCATTGTGGAATAATTGATTTTTTTAAACCAAAATTTAAAATGCTATTTTATTTTTTTAAAATAAGTAGTGGTTACAAGAATACCTTCGCTATCCTTTTTGTAAAACCTAGAAATTAAATAAGTTTTCCTTCTAGTTCGTTCTCATTCGCGGGGTTTAATCAGTACTACTACATATTTAAATTTCCTCACTTTAACGCCATAATTAAATTTGAAATTTTCTCATTTTAACGCGCATTTAAATGGCAAAATGTGAAAGATCGTGTTTGGCGCTTTTAGAAATGGTGTTATTTTTACTCATGCAAATTGTCCATTTAGTTGAATGAAAATTATAAGCTGTTTTCCTATTTTAATACCATGGTAATAATTAAAAAAACTTTCTTTTATAAATATTGCAATTCTATAAAATGATTTCGAAACTTTTGGTTTAAATCTAAAAAGAAATCATTAATTTCAAATCCTCTTTTTTTGGCGATTCAAACCTTGCATGATAAAATTGACATCGTTTCTAAAAGCGCCAAGGTTGATCTTTCGAATTGTGTCCACAGTTCTGCCAGGTAGAATCCTACAAAACATTTGCTAAAGGTAAATTGTTTACATCGAGTAAGTTTAGAAGGGTTTTTGATCAACCCCTGTATCTTTTTTCTGCTTTGTAAATTAAAATGATAAGACAGTTGCCACCACTTGTGACTTTTTTTGAGAAAAACCACTGTCCTTTTCACGCCTTCGTGTCCAAACGCAGGCAAGGCGCAAATGGGATGAGTTTTATCTATTGCGCAAGTCTTGAATTAAAGATAATATTAAAGATTGGGTCTGCCAACTAAGTTTAAGCTGTTTATTAAAATTTTTTGAAAGTATAAAATGGGAGATCACATAATTTTCTCTTGTTGTTTGATGAAAATTTTTATGAGAAAAATAATTTAATCACTCTTCATCGATTAAATGGATGGTGAGCTGAGGTGCAATTTTGAGATCAAAAATTTTCATTTTTAAACTTAGCATGCCAAACTTGGGGTTACTTTGGCACCTTCTCCATGCATAGCACAAATGACATGAGTAGTTTTTGAGTCATTTATAATCGTCACAGATGTAAAAAAAGACGATGAAGAGTCGAAAATGCTCAGTTTTTTCTTCTTTTTAAATTAACATTCCGTTTTATTGATCTAGAAATTATTACAGGTTAACTTAACTAACAAAAAAAACAAACATAGATTCTAGTGGAATAAAAACATCCTCTTTCGAATGAACCATTCCAATGTATGCATTACAAAATCCTCTAGGCCTGAGTTAGTTTTTAAAAAATTAAGTGTCGAAAATGCTCTGTTTTTTTAAAAAATTGATATTCCGTTTTATTGATCTGGAAAGTAAGATGAATTAATTTTAACAATTAATTTCAACAAACAAAAAAAAACACAGATTCTAGTAATTCTACTAGAATCTACTAGAATATAAATATCCTCTTTTGAATGATTTAAAAAATTATACCGAAAACATTTAATGGCATGCAGAATGTTGAAAAGTAAAAAAAAAAAAAAAAAAGAAAAACCATTCCAATATATGCATTACAAAATCATCTAGCCCTGAGTTAATTTGAAAAAAATTAAGTGTCGAAAATGCTCTGTTTTTTAAAAAAATTGATATTTCGTTACATTGATCTGGAAAGTAAGATAAATTAATTTTACTTAAAAAAAAAAAAAAAAAAAAAAAAACGCAGATTCTAGTAGAATATAAATATCCTCTTTCGAATGATTTAAAAAATTATACCGAAAACATTTAATGGCATGCAGAATGTTGAAAAGTAAAAAGAAAAAAAAAACATTCCAATATATGCATTACAAAATCATTTAGCCCTGAGTTAATTTGAAAAAAATTCAGTGTCGAAAACGCTCTGCTTTTCAAAAAATTGATATTCCGTTTTATTGATCTGGAAAGTAAAATAAATTAATTTTTCTTAAAAAAAAAAAAAAAAAAAAAAAAAAAAAAAAGACACAGATTCTAGTAGAATATAAATATCCTCCTTCGAATGATTCAAAAATTTATA